CTGAGAATTGAACATTGAAAATTAAGAATTGAAAGTCGAGAATTGAAAATTGATAATTGAATTTTGAGAATTGAAAGTTCAGAGTTGAATACTGAGAATTGAACATTGAGAATTGAAAGTTGAGATTTGAAAATGGGAATTGAAAATTAATAATTGAGAATTGAAAGCTGAGAATTGAAAATTGAAAATTAAGAATTGAAAGTCGAGAATTGAAAGTGGAGAATTGAAAATTGATAATTGAATATTGAGAATTGAAAGTTCAGAGTTGAATACTGAGAAATGAAAATGAAAATTGAAGGTAAAGAATTGAGAATTAATAATTGAAAATTGATAGTTGAGAATGGAAAGCTGTGAACTGAAAATTGAAAATTGGGAATTGAATATTGAGAATTGAATAGTGAAAATTGAGAATTGGAAATTCAAGGTTAAGATTTGTAACTGGACATTAAAATTGCGAATTGAAAATTGTAAATTTATGAATTTGTGAATTTCGAAAGAAGACAGTTGAAAAATCAAGGAATTTGAAATTAATAAAAATTGTATCATAACGTTTATAACTGCAAAGAAAAAAAGACGAACTGAAAAAAAATCATAATCATAGATATAAAAGAAATAAAAATGTTTAAATGATCTAATTTTACACTTCACGACAGTCTACATATATTAACTGACTTAAAACAAAACGAAACCTAATACAATCATGTTGAAAAGTCCATCTTCCATCGCTGTTTGTCAAAAGAAACTACATTTAGATACATTCAAACACTTGAGCGAAGAATTGAACTCACAATAGTCGTACACATTGCGAACTGTATTAAATTAACAATCTGTAGATAATTATTTTGTTAAGCTGTTTAAATTGAAGAAAATGTTCAGTTCAAAAAATATTTCACTCGTTTTCTAGCACTTAACCCTTTGTACTCGAAGATAATTTGACTGTTTGCAAACAGCAATATTAAAACTTAATTAAAAAGTTCAATGAATTCTCTTGAAGTTATTATTTCTCTATTAATAATTTCCACTATTGTTTGTTTCACTATGTTTATACATCACACGTGTCATATTATAGAATCAGTTAAAAAATGCTTGTTTCAAATTATTGCATTAAATAAAATGGTGACTGAGTCACCTCTCGAGCGCAAAGGGTTAATCTTCATAAACAATAAAATTAAGAATTCACATCACTAAGTAGATCATATATAATTTTCATTCAATCGCTATAGTCCTACTTTCAACGTTCAAGCGGTAACTATGCTACATACATACGCTAAATGTACTCTAAGCAATCGTGTGCTGTCGAGATAAAATTTCGTACGTTTCCATCGGGTTTAAAATATCTCCTACGATTTCAGGAAGTTCTAAATTTCTCTAATTCCAGAAACCAAATAACCAGTATTTACAAGTAATCGTTAGTGTGGAATTTCAAGAAACTACCAACTAATCGACCGTCCCTCGTTTCATTTACGTTAACAAACTTCTTGAAAAAATCAAACATTCCCTTTCAAAAATCTTCATTTTAACAAAAATATCGTTTTCTGTATTTCGTTCGTTGGCGCAAAAAATTTCGTTCGTTGGTCTCCGGAAAATTGACGTAAATGAAAGCGGGACGTCTCGATACGACAATTCAGTTTCACATAGACAAGAAGATCGAAGAAGAAAGATAGAGAAAATAAAGAGGGTTTAATATTTCGTGGTGGCGATGAAAAAGTACCTCGGATGTGTTCTCCATGTGTTTCGCCACGTGTTCCGCCAGCTATGGACAAACATCTCGTGTACAGTAAGATCGCGATGACCTGACGCACATTTTAAACTCGCCTTCAACATCCTCCGATCTTCGTTCAACCTTGCCTTCAGGTCACTGCGATTTGCTTATCTATAGGGTGTCCCTTCTTATCAACCTCGATTTTAGCGTCAAATAAAATGTTTAGTACATTAATAAATACTAAGCAAATATTTTCATTTTTAATACGGTGTTGGAAGTGCTTATGTGAATTTATAATTTCACTGGAATTGAAATTTTTAATAAACTGGATTTCACATTTTTTTTATACTGGGATGTTTGAAACTGAGGATTTTTAAATTAAATTTCTAAATTCTTTATTATGCAAGCTCTTTAATTTTTAGCTTTCCTTTTCATTTTAAGAACTTTAACAATTCTTAACAAATTTCAGTATGAAAAGTTGGTAATCTATAAATTATAAATATTGAAATGCGTAAAATATCTTCAATAATAATATCAGTGAACGTATTAAGTAATATAAGCTTGATGGTATAACAAAGATGGTACAAGCAGATTTGAATTTTTTTTATATTAAAATGTTTGAAACTGAGAATTTAATTCAATAAAATTTCGAAATTTCAAAATTCTTTAATACGCAAGTTCTTCAATTTTTAGCTTTCCTTTTCATTTTAAAAACTTTAATGATTCTCAACAAATCTCAGTATGAAAAGTTGTTGATCCACAAATTATGAATATTGAAATGTGTAAAATATCTCCAATAATAATATCAGTAAACATATTAAGAAATATAAGCTTGATGGTACAAATTTAATGAAGTTTTAATTGGAACACCCTATACATAAAGAGTAATATGTTTTGCAGTTATTTCGATGCAAGGACGTCGACCGAATTCGCAGACGACGAACGAAACTGATAACGAAGATGACTAAACGATTATTAACAATTATAAAAATTGTCCAAATCTTGTATATTTACGTAATTTGTATAATAACCGTGCAATGTTAAACGTATTTAAACATTGAAGAGAAACTGTCCAATGAATCCGCAGCGTTTTCTCTTTTATTTATATTGAGTGGATAAAAAACACGATCGACGTCTTCAATAAAGCATAAAGCCAAACATAGCACATCCAGCTTCGCGAAACAGTGAATAAAATATAGTCATGTGTCGTATGATTGTGTGCTTTGATTTTGCATCATCGCGGTTTATCAGTGAATATTTTTATCTCCCGATATTTCCATTGTTAGGACGGTTCGTTTTACACGTTGTTTGCTTACCAATTTGTCCAATTGTTTGTACACCGCTGAGAAATATGGTACCCCGTTCGTACTGTAACAAAATTATTAAGTATTGTCTGCTAACGAATGTGAAACTTTTTATTTTGATTTTATTTCGTATTTGTGATGCATAAGCTTTTTTCTTTTTCTTTGTAGAATATTTTAATACGAGTGTTGTTCACTTGGACGTTGACTGATTGGACGCATCCCGATTCGACGCGTTCCAATTCGAAGCAGTACCGATTGGACGCATCCCGATTGGACGGCCCCGATTCGACGCGTTCCAATTCGACGAACTTTAACAATTCTTAACAAATTTCAGTATGAAAAGTTGGTAATCTATAAATTATAAATATTGAAATGCGTAAAATATCTTCAATAATAATATCAGTGAACGTATTAAGTAATATAAGCTTGATGGTATAACAAAGATGGTACAAGCAGATTTGAATTTTTTTTATATTAAAATGTTTGAAACTGAGAATTTAATTCAATAAAATTTCGAAATTTCAAAATTCTTTAATACGCAAGTTCTTCAATTTTTAGCTTTCCTTTTCATTTTAAGAACTTTAACAATTCTTAACAAATTTCAGTATGAAAAGTTGGTAATCTATAAATTATAAATATTGAAATGCGTAAAATATCTTCAATAATAATATCAGTGAACGTATTAAGTAATATAAGCTTGATGGTATAACAAAGATGGTACAAGCAGATTTGAATTTTTTTTATATTAAAATGTTTGAAACTGAGAATTTAATTCAATAAAATTTCGAAATTTCAAAATTCTTTAATACGCAAGTTCTTCAATTTTTAGCTTTCCTTTTCATTTTAAGAACTTTAACAATTCTTAACAAATTTCAGTATGAAAAGTTGGTAATCTATAAATTATAAATATTGAAATGCGTAAAATATCTTCAATAATAATATCAGTGAACGTATTAAGTAATATAAGCTTGATGGTATAACAAAGATGGTACAAGCAGATTTGAATTTTTTTTATATTAAAATGTTTGAAACTGAGAATTTAATTCAATAAAATTTCGAAATTTCAAAATTCTTTAATACGCAAGTTCTTCAATTTTTAGCTTTCCTTTTCATTTTAAGAACTTTAACAATTCTTAACAAATTTCAGTATGAAAAGTTGGTAATCTATAAATTATAAATATTGAAATGCGTAAAATATCTTCAATAATAATATCAGTGAACGTATTAAGTAATATAAGCTTGATGGTATAACAAAGATGGTACAAGCAGATTTGAATTTTTTTTATATTAAAATGTTTGAAACTGAGAATTTAATTCAATAAAATTTCGAAATTTCAAAATTCTTTAATACGCAAGTTCTTCAATTTTTAGCTTTCCTTTTCATTTTAAAAACTTTAATGATTCTCAACAAATCTCAGTATGAAAAGTTGTTGATCCACAAATTATGAATATTGAAATGTGTAAAATATCTCCAATAATAATATCAGTAAACATATTAAGAAATATAAGCTTGATGGTACAAATTTAATGAAGTTTTAATTGGAACACCCTATACATAAAGAGTAATATGTTTTGCAGTTATTTCGATGCAAGGACGTCGACCGAATTCGCAGACGACGAACGAAACTGATAACGAAGATGACTAAACGATTATTAACAATTATAAAAATTGTCCAAATCTTGTATATTTACGTAATTTGTATAATAACCGTGCAATGTTAAACGTATTTAAACATTGAAGAGAAACTGTCCAATGAATCCGCAGCGTTTTCTCTTTTATTTATATTGAGTGGATAAAAAACACGATCGACGTCTTCAATAAAGCATAAAGCCAAACATAGCACATCCAGCTTCGCGAAACAGTGAATAAAATATAGTCATGTGTCGTATGATTGTGTGCTTTGATTTTGCATCATCGCGGTTTATCAGTGAATATTTTTATCTCCCGATATTTCCATTGTTAGGACGGTTCGTTTTACACGTTGTTTGCTTACCAATTTGTCCAATTGTTTGTACACCGCTGAGAAATATGGTACCCCGTTCGTACTGTAACAAAATTATTAAGTATTGTCTGCTAACGAATGTGAAACTTTTTATTTTGATTTTATTTCGTATTTGTGATGCATAAGCTTTTTTCTTTTTCTTTGTAGAATATTTTAATACGAGTGTTGTTCACTTGGACGTTGACTGATTGGACGCATCCCGATTCGACGCGTTCCAATTCGACGCGGTACCGATTCCACGCGTTCCAACTCGAAGCGGTACCGATTCCACGCGTTCCTATTCGAAGCGGTACCGATTCCACGCGATCCAATTCCACGCGTTCCTATTCGAAGCGGTACCGATTCGACGCGTTCCAAATCGAAGCTCTACCGATTGGACGCGTTCCGCTTCGAAGCAGTGCCGAATGGACCTAACCTACCCTAACCTAATCTAATCTAACAGCTTCGAATTGGAACGTATCCAATCGGTAGAGCTTCCAGTTAGAACGCTTCGAATTGGAACGCGTCGAATCGGGACGCGTCCAATCGGTCGACACCCCCTTTTAATACATATTCTACCTTCTTATGTTACTTGTATCGTATTTAATATTATACCGAGCTTTTCTTCTGTTTCTCTATAATATTTTAATTTGTTACTAATGTACTAATAATATTATTAGATAATTCAATGTCTACAGTAGTGTACAAATTTTTATTTAATTTTATTAAGGATGGAGGCTCTATTAAAATCAATTTAAATATTGAAAATAGTTATATTTTATTTACACGCTATTTCAAAGTTTCTTTTATTTAAATTAAGAAAAAATATTCCAATATTTTCTCTGAAACATCATGAGATAAATAAAAAGATCTTTTAATAAAAATCAGTTTAAATATCGAAGATACATTTATTTCACGTGTACTCTATTTCAAAGTATCTTTTATTTAAATTAAGAAATAATATTCCAATATTTTCTCTGAAAAGTCGTGAGACAAATAAAAAGATCTAATAACAATAAAATTAAATATAAAAATTACACGTATGGTTTTTTTAAATTAATAAAAAATATTCCACTATTTATCTCTGAAAAACCATCAGACATATAAAGAGATATTTTTAGAAAAATTAAATTAAATATTAATGATACATGTATTTTACGTACACTCTATTTCAAAGTATCCTCTATTACAGTTGACAAAAAATTTGTCAATGTCTTGTACTTTATCGTAAGAACCGTAAAATACTTACCTCTCAAAAAGGCTGTTATAGTAAGTGAGTCCTTGTTCCAGGTCTACAAGTAACGCAGTTACTAAGTTCGTAAAGTCTTGCAAGACTTTATCTGCATCCTGATCGGGTTCTTTATCGTAACACATTGTCTGCTGCCTTGTATCTTCGTACCTAAAGGAAACAGATATTGTCTGTTAAAAGTTTCATCGAGCTCGACGATATAAGATAAAATACGAAAATTACTGACCACTCGAGGGTTCCTTTTCTTAGGGCAGTTATTATTTCTCCGCGGATTTCCTTGTTGAAAGGACAACAGGTCCGGAAAGCTTTCATGCTTGATAGTAATCCTAAACATCTATAAAAATTGAGCATAGAATTCAATTATACTTGTTATTTAATTGGGATTCAATTTTAATTCGAAATTGTTTTGATTATTTTAGAAAGGTATTTTGGAGAGTTATAATTGTTTAAATGACTTTATTGCTTGATTTGAAATCTTTAGAATATTGTTTATGTGGGCTGAAATTAGGTTATGTCGACATATGAACAGAAATTATTATACTAGTTTTACAAAGTAAAAATTTGTTTATACATTTGATTTTGACATTATTTTTAATTGTTTGAATTGCATTTAAATCTTGATTAGTGGATTTGGGTTTTAATCTTAAATGTCTGATTTTAATATTAATTTTAATTATTTGATTTGGATTTTAATCCTAGTTATTTGATTTGGATTTTAATCTTAATTATTTGATTTGAATTTTAATCTTAATTATTTGATTTGGATTTTAATCTTAATTATTTGACTTTAATTTTAATCTTAATTATTTGATTTTAATTTTAATCCTAATTATTTGATTTGGAATTTAATCTTAATTATTTGATTTGAATTTTAATCTTAATTATTTGATTTGGATTTTAATCTTAATTATTTGATTTGGGTTTTAATCTTAATTATTTGATTCTAATTTTAATCTTAATTATTTGACTTTAATTTTAATCCTAAATATTTGATTTGGAATTTAATCTTAATTATTTGATCCTAATTTTAATCTTAATTATTTGACTTCAATTTTAGTATTAATTGTTTTGTTTTCACATATAAACATTATTATTTACAGACAAAAGATATTCATTAATATTAATTTTTAAGATCACCAATAATAAACAATCACTAAATAAATGAACACTAACAAACGAATTACTCAATAAATAACAAACAACAATAATATTAACTTCTTAAATTACCAGAGTAATATAACATACAAAATTATTACAATTATCCAATTAAAAAAAATCTAAAACAAGTTACTTTTTTAAATAACAATAATAATTATTAATAAATAAGCTCAAATCGATAAAAATTTCTTAAAAGGTGTACAATAATGTGTTATAGAAAGAAATCATTGAAGATGAAAATACTTTGTTCCGCCAATATCTAATTTTCAAACCCTTTATTCTTAGAAAAAGTACTCACTTAAGTAGATAATCCAGCTTGGAAATCGATGATCGATGTAATGGCGGAAAGAGTACTCGATGCTGACAGACTTTCTTCAATGTAACTTCGAGAAATTCATTAAAGGAATCAGCAAGGCACTGTTCCTCGTCTCTAGATAGAGTGTCTGTGTGCCATAGATTGTTTAATTCCTAGAAATTAAATTATTTTATCGTGTTTTAAAAATATTCGTGGATTATCTTGGATTCTCGGAGTTATCTCTGAGAATAACTAACAGACAATTTCGTAGTTAAAATTATAATAATAACTGGAAATTAATTTTTCTTCTATTTGTATTCTATTATTTGTTATAATTAATACTATTTGTTATAATTAATTATTGTAAGGTTATTTCTAAAAAAAGAAATGTTTCTTTATTAAGAAAAATTTTTGATTGTCGTTTATACAATCTTTGAAATATTTTAATTAAATGATCTTTTAGTTAGTAAAGTACAAAAAAGTGTAATTGTACATTTTTAAAATTAGTATTTAGTATTGTATTAAATATTTTGTTCATGACAGCATTTTAGTTAGGATGTGTTTAATTGTGTTGTACAATCACTTTCTTAATTATTAAACAAATTTTTTTTACATACAAAAAAGTGCAATTCTGTCTCACTGTTAGTTAAGCACCTTTATATTTAACAACTATCTATTTAAATTTACTAAATAGATATTTAAAAAATATTTAATACTTCTTTCTCGATCTTGTGTTACACAATTATTATAACATAAATGTATCTATAAACATATTGCGTAATTATTGTCATTTTTCAATTTAAAAACAGAAAATAGAAATTGAATGTTTATGTTTCTAAAGTAATTTCACATGTTCAGTTTAATCTGGTATAGAAATAATTTGATACGAAATAAAGATAACTGACAAAAAAGAAGTGTGCACCTAATATTTAACAGTAGTGTAATAAATGTACAGTAGCAGAATAAAAGGATTGAAAGAAACCTGAAGAAGGCGATGAAGAATCCTGGGATCACAAGTTGGTTGACGTGACGTTGCTACCCATTTAACTAATGCCTGTTGCAATTCTGTGACGTCACCTTGGACGGCGTGTTGATGAAGAATTGTTAGAGCCGTTTGTGGCAATTCTCCCGTGAAGTCTTCCTAAACGACGCAAAACGAAATTTACGATTCAAATAAAACAAGCTGAACTTCAACTCCTTCCATTATGGCGCTGTGATTTATAATCTGACTATGACAAATTTCGTGAATTCGCATTTAGAATATACAAGAAATTAGCACACCTACAAATTTGGGAGACATACAAATAAAAACAGAGTTACTCTAACTGCTTCGAAACCATAACTTTAAACATTTAAATATTTTAATACTTAAAATTTAAGGGTAAAAAATATTTAAATACTTAAACTTTGAGGATAAAAAATATTTAAATACTTAAACTTTAAGGGTAACAAATATTTTAATACTTGAACTTTAAGGGTAAAGAATATTTTAATACTTGAACTTTAAGGGTAAAAAATATTTAAATACTTAAACTTCAAGGGTAAAAAATATTTAAATACTTAAACTTTAAGGGTAAAAAATATTTAAATACAAAATACTTTAAGGGTAAAAAATATTTAAGTACTTAAACTTTAAGGGTAAAAAATATTTAAATACTTAAACTTTAAGGGTAACAAATATTTAATACTTAAACTTTAAGGGTAAAAAATATTTAAATACTTGAACTTTAAGGGTAAAGAATATTTTAACACTTAAACTTTAAGGGTAATAAATATTTAAATACTTAAACTTTAAGGGTAAAAAATATTTAAATACAAAATACTTTAAGTTCCAGTAAGACTTAAAATTATGTATACAATAAACACTTAAAAATTTCATATTTTTCATTTTTAAATCATATTGTTCCCAAATTTTCATATTGTCGTTTTTTCTGAATTTGACACGATGTAAAATTAAAATTTGACAAATTCTACAAAATTCTAAATTATTTAAATATGTTTCGATACCATGGAAATAAGTGACTCTGATATTTTGAAATCAGGGAATTCTAAACGAGTCACGATTTTTAAAAGCACTTTCCACGATAATAACCCATACCCCTTGTTTGTTCATTTCATGATTGAGAAAGACCGTGTACAGCCTTTTCTGTTGTCTCAGTTCCCCCCAATTGTCTTCTTCGGATGTACCCCTGTCTTCTCTCGTTGATAACCGCAGCTTTAATCTAATTCTACCTTGAATAGTGCTTCGTTGCGTTCTGGCTTCTAGTTTGTACCATCGATCGAGCCCGGTGCTAGGAATATCCTGAAAACAAAGATAGTTTCTTCATGCTTTATCGTTGCTAGATCTATCGAGATATTATAGAAACTTCTCATAACTAAAACACTACTAAAATAACTGTCCTATTAATTATTTATAATATTCGACATAATTATAACAGTCTAAAAATTCTTAGTTGCTATTTTAAAAATAACTGATCATTTATTCTGTAATTATCCCTTTGACAGTGGAACGAATGTGTTAACTTTGCTACGTCAATCTTATAAGGGTAATGTTTATGTATCTAGTTATATTTATAAATATTTATAAATTCGAGTTGTATTTATAAATTGTAGTGTAGTCGGAGTCTACTTATATTATTAATTTTAATCTAAACACATCATTAGCCACTGCAGAAATACACTACAGACTGCGATTCGATATGAAACCATCTCTGAAGGACAACTTGAAGGACAAATCAATTAAAATATGCTATAGTACCCTAAATTCATAGATCGTTACATTCCAATGTCCTCAAATTTATATGTCCATAAGTACTTAAATTCTCAAATCCCAAGATACCCAAATTGCAACATCCCCAAATCTTAAGCTTTCCAAATACCTATGTCCCAAAATCCTTGAATCCCCAAATCCCAAGCTTTCCAAATACCTATGTCCCAAAATCCTTGGATCCCCAAATCCCAAGCTTCCCAAATACCTATGTCTCAAAATCCTTGAATCCCCAAATCCCAAGCTTTCCAAATACCTATGTCCCAAAGTCCTTGAATCCCCAAATCCCAAGCTTTCCAAATACCTATGTCCCAAAGTCCTTGAATCCCCAAATCCCAAGCTTTCCAAATACCTATGTCCCAAAGTCCTTGAATCCCCAAATCCCAAGCTTTCCAAATACCTATGTCCCAAAGTCCTTGAATCCCCAAATCCCAAGCTTTCCAAATACCTATGTCCCAAAGTCCTTGAATCCCCAAATCCCAAGCTTTCCAAATACCTATGTCCCAAAGTCCTTGAATCCCCAAATCCCAAGCTTTCCAAATACCTATGTCCCAAAGTCCTTGAATCCCCAAATCCCAAGCTTTCCAAATACCTATGTCCCAAAGTCCTTGAATCCCCAAATCCCAAGCTTTCCAAATACCTATGTCCCAAAGTCCTTGAATCCCCAAATCCCAAGCTTTCCAAATACCTATGTCCCAAAATCCTTGAATCCCCAAATCCCAAGGTTTCCAAATACCTATGTCCCAAAATCCTTGGATCTCCAAATTCCTACGTCCCCAAATATTAATAAATCTTAATTTCTACACCCCAAAATTCCTAGATCCTCACATTTCAAAGTTCTCAAATTCCTACGTCCATAAATACCTAAATTCCCAAATTCCGAAATACCCAAATTGCAACATTCCCAAATTCCAAACTTCCTACAACAAGCTGTAAACATACTCTGAGTCGTTAATAACCCATGTTGACTATATATAAATAACTATATATAAATAAATGAACGATTGAATAAATGAGCGACTATATATAAATAAATGAAAAAAAAGTATCTGAAATAAATTAACAAGTCATAAAATTAAAATAAATATTTGGCAATGAATATTTTTCTTGATGTACCTGAAGAGGAATATTCACGCAGCCAAGAAAATCATCCTGACCCCCAGATCTGGCACTCTGAGCGATCTGCTTGAAGAAACGTCCGAGTCCTTTGACCCCACGCACTTCGTTCAACTTGCTAACCGCGTCAAACACCGAGGACTCGTCGTCGTGGTCCCTGAAACTATGTCTGTCAGGACAACGCAAACACTTCCGAGTGGAAAATACACGTATGTGAAAGCAGAAAAAAAGTGTTCCACAGCCACACCTGAACATGATTCACATATTTTGATAATACATATTAACAATGATGTCCAGTTAGCTACATCTCAAACGTTACAAAGAGTGAAACGTTACAATGAATAATTAATAGATTGTTTATGGATTTTATCAGAATAGAAAGGTAATAGGTTACATGATTTATGTTCATTTTGTAAATCTCGATATATGGTGAATGCGTAAACATCCACAGAGTAATTAATGAAGGAAGGGAAGTGAACGAGGATGTTGTTGGGTGTTGTTTTTAGACACCCCTGTGAATAATTTAGTATGTTTCAGAGGAAATATTGAGGAAGGGTTTGTCTGAAATTTGAAAGTTGTGGAAAAGAAAAGATGTGGAAAGTGTTTATACTTACTCTTGCTATACTTCATTTTTAGTGGAAGGTAGATGTTTTGTTATCAATAAGCTTTTTCGTTACTTTTATTTATTTTATGTTAGTCTTCTGAATCTTCAAATTTTTTGATTCTGACTTTCCTAATTTTTTCAAAAACTAAGTTTCAAAAATTTACAATTTCCTAAATTTTATAAATCTTCAATTTCCTAAATTTTACAAATTTTCAACTTCCTAATTTTTCCAAATCTTCAATTTCCTAAATTTTACAAATATTCAACTTCCTAAATTTTACAAATTTTCAACTTCCTAAATTTTACAAATATTCAACTTCCTAAATTTTCCAAATTTTCAACTTTTTAATTTTTCCAAATCTTCAACTTCCTAATTTTTCCAAATCTTCAACTTCCTAATTTTTCCAAATCTTCAATTTCCTAAATTTTCCAAATTTTCAACTTTCTAATTTTTCCAAATCTTCAACTTTCTAATTTTTCCAAATCTTCAACTTCCTAGTTTTTCCAAATCTTCAACTTCCTAAATTTTCCAAATTTTCGACTTCCTAAATTTTTCAAATATTCTACATTTTTATAATGTTTCAAACGTTCAAGCTCTCTAATCCTCAAATTCCACGATAAATCTTTAAACTGATTTAATTATTTACCTACATCTGACCGTTTCACTGATGCAATCTCCCCAAATTACTCACTGATTATATTTTTAAAAATATGAAAGTCCCTAAGGACTTAGGTTTGTCACACGAGTGTTGAAAATGTCAGACCAAAATCTATAAAATCATCAGTATAAAAAAGGTATAATCATATATAACTAAATTACCTCACGAGTTAAAATGTAAAATTTTGTTTTGCACAATTTTTGTAGAAAATGTAAAACTTGAGAATATGAGAAATTTATTGTAAATCATTCGAACATTATATATCATATCTTGAAGAAAGGTGAAGTGGGGTAAGGCAGACTGGTTTTTATAAAGTTGGTATGTAAACATAAGTATTTTTTCTGTCGATATCGAACACTTTGCACAATTACTACTACATAATTAGTATTAACTAGGACCTTAATTTTCCTTGTACATTTTGATTTTGATAGGAAATTGTTTAAAATGTCAACTACTCTGCACTTTCCCCGAAAATGGGCTAAGAGCGTAACTTGAAGTTAAATACTTTGAAACTTTATTTCATGTGCAATGGGGCAAGAGCAGAATTATTAAGAAATCTGCTATAAAATGCTTTTTACTGCATTATGCAAGTACTCTATACAGCAAACAAGTACTCTTAGCTGAAATATAAAAGGGGATATAGTGAAACAAAACAAGGAAACAAACATACTAAATGAAGAAATTTCGCTCATATTGTAATAAAAATAGCCTGTATATGCACTTGTCCCGTTTACGAACTTACCCCACTTCACCTTACACTAAAAAAATTTCAACCAACGATTTTTGACGCTCGTGTGTTCCCTCGGTTCCGAATTCGATAAAAAATCGCAACACGTGAAACAGCCCGTATATTAGAACCGATGCACAGATAACAGACATATCAAACGACACCACTCACCATATGTCCAGGTGCAGAATGTCCGTGTTGATGTCGTCGATGTCGCTGCAATGTAGAAACAGAGAAACGTTATGAACCGCGTGCTGTCGCGTTGCGTCGGTTTGATTTAATTCCGCCTAACGCGTTTCCGATTGCGTGTCAACTAGAATGTGAAACTAGTTCCACGGAACACTTGTGGCTGCTTACAAACGAAACTTCTCGTTCCATCGTGGGCTCAGAGTGTGCGGCTTCACGCTGGTCGCGCGTATAAACTTCGCCGGAACCGCGCCGCTTAAGGATTCACGGTGCTCGCGTCTGCTCGTGTGCTCTTTGCGCTTGAACGACAATCTGAAACTGATTTTGAGCAATTAAGATAACAAGCTGATGGAAGCTTCTACTACTGAGCGGTTCGTTGCTATTCTGATGGTATGTGGTTTATAAAGCTCTTTGTCCACGGAGATTGATAGTGTGTTTAAGATGAGTGTTTAACGTTAAAACTACCGAAGTCAAATTGACCGAAAGATTCATAGATTAACTTATAAAGTTTGTTGAGGTTTTCTCGAAACTTATATTGATTTTTATCAAGACCAAATTCTATCGTTTGCTTCTTTATTTCCGAGTTTTTGGGCTGAGTTTTTAATTTGAAAATTAAGTATACGTTTTAGGTAGGTTTGCGTAACCTATAGGTAGGTTTAGTGTTAAAGAGAGCATGGAATGAAAGAAAAGAAAGTGTAATGCGTAAGGTAGTGTGTAATAAGTCAACAATTTGTGGTAATTAACCTCTAGTCATATTTTGACGAGTCTGACATATGACGCACTTCAAACGTGATGTATTACTCAAGTTTTTAATGCACTTCAATTTGGTATTCGAGTCCAATTATAATTTGCATAGTCAAGGTTCGCCGAATGCAAAACTAACATAATATTGCAACTTTCTTTGTTTGTTTTGATATTGTAGCTTTGGTTAGTTAGTTCTGACTGACACATCTAACAAATAAATCATAAGGCAAGGGTAAAGCAGTAATAATTGGGCTCCGTGGATGGAGGGTCGAAGGTCGCCGTAACTGATCGGCGTCAGCTCTGCGCGCGATCAGTTACGGTGAGCCGTCAATGTTTTCAGGGAATAACCGTTGAACACAGAGAATTATTACAATCACACATCGTGTTACGATCGTTATTGATATAACTTCAGACCACATATTTGTGTGTTGCTTTATATTATAGCGAGTCACAAACAAAATTGATGACCAGGAACAGTTTTTCAATGATAATCGAAGATTATACCAATTTAACAAATCAATGGACTGACAAAAATCTGAAATTCTTAAATTCTCAGGTCTTTAATTCACAGAATACCAAATTGTCAAATTCTCAAGTTTTTATTTCACAGATTGGCAAATTTTTTAATTCTTAAGTCTTTATTTTGGAGATTGTTAAATTGTGAAATTATCAAGTTATAAAACTATCAAATTATCAAATTGACACATTGTCAAATTATCAAGTTGCCAGATTATCAAATTGCTAAATTGTCAAATTATTAGATATTCAAAGTCACAGATTGTTAAATTGTGAAATTATCACGTTATAAAACTATCAAATTATCAAATTGACACATTGTCAAATTATCAAGTTGCCAAATTACCAAATTGCTAAATTGTCAAATTATTAGATCTTCAAAGTCACAGATGGTTAAATTGTGAAATTATCAAGTTATCAAACTATCAAATTATCAAATTGACACATTGTTAAATTATCAAGTTGCCAAATTACCAAATTGCTAGATTGTCAAATTATTAGATCTTCAAAGTCACAGATTGTTAAATTGTGAAATTATCAAATTATAAAATTTTCAAATCGTCAAATTGTTAAATTATTACATCTGCAAAGTCACAGATGATCAAGTTGTCAAGTCGTCAAATCTTCAAATTGTCAAATCGCCAAATTGTCAAATTGTCAAATTGCCAAATTGTTAAATCCTCAAATCGTCAAATCATCAATTTGTCAAACTCTTAAATTTCTATTTCCTCAAATCCCGAAATTCACAAACTTGCAAATATCCAAATATCCACATTTCCAAACTCCCAAACATTAAGATTCCGAAAAATCGTCAGTCCTCCATCAAATTCTCCCACCTCACTCTGGATCTACAACTTAACCTAGCTGCATAATAAAAAGTTCGAACCAAAATTTGAATCAACTCCTTTAAAATCTATCGACATCGAAATATAACATCTTTGCACCCACCCAATCTCTATAACACGAAACACGATTCTACAATACTAATCTAAATTTGAACCAAATCCTTCAAAATTGATCAACACCTTATATATCATTTCCGCAATCCTCCACATCAGCCAAACTCTACAACACTACCACAATCAATTCTCCTCTAACCGATCACTTCCAAAAAGTTCCTCACAATTTCTGCACATGCTTCTTAGTCATCTTCTCCAAGTTAATCATCTCGGTGTCAATTAATGTCATGAAGGAGAAAAACGAACTGTCATTCGTAGGCAATACGTGGTCGAACGTTTCGGTGAGTCTCGTTTCGCAGCGTTCGCGAGCAAATTACTCGGCTCGCAGCCTCTGATGCCGAAGAAAACAATGGTCAAGGTAGATAGAAACGTTGAACACGATCTGAATGCACCACGGCCTTATTCTGCCGCAAACCGTCGCGGACAGAACTTGTCGCATCCGGCAAGTGCTCATTGTTATCGCGAACCATTGTGAAAATGTCAGGGAAACTGGTGTCTGGAGAACGCGTAGACAGGAGAACCTTCAGCTTCTTCTTCGAACGATCGATCGATCAAGTGGTACGAAGATTAATTGAACGTTTAAAAAATTTCGTGTTGAAAGGAGAACGAAATCAATTAAACTTCTTGTATGGACCTGAGAGGTATTTACGAAATGCACTACCGAAGGGCAAGACGAAGTTTAAAGAAAGAAACTTGAATATTTCTTTCACTTATTTTTTAAGCAATTTTTTTGAGATTTTAATTTTTTTTATTAAATATTATGGAGTATGTGAGATTTTGTTATTTTTATTTGCGAGATAGAAATTTGTATTTTGCATAATTAATTTGGTTTAGGGGATGTTTAGAAATCTTTTAGTGGAAGATAGCCCAATGGGTTTTATTCTTGAAATGTATTTTTCTTATGATTTATAAAACTTGAAATTTTCAAATTTTTCCTTGTATAATGACCAACACAAATTTTCTACATGCTGAACATTTATTTCTGAGTTCAAAGTACACATTACAGCACCGCAGTTAAATTAAACTATGACTATAAAGAGCAATGTTGTTCTATAATTAGAATGTCTCTACCTGATAATGAATATTAATAGATACTTTTTGCTGGAAACATATCTGCTGGGTCAACTTACCTATGATGTTTCCGTAGTTTTTCGTGATGTGAATTTTCAGTTTCAGCGCCGTCAGAAAGGGCGCGTGTAGCTTGTCTGGGTGAAGCCGGGGGTGTATGGGGTGAGTGCGCTGTTAAATTTGTCTGTGGACTCAATGGTGCACCTGTATTGCCCGGTTGGATTCCCAACATACAGTACGGGTCACTGAATCCTAAAGGAAATATAGATAATTCGATTGAACTCTTTCTTCATGAAAACTCCTTTTCTTTTCTTATGGGTAAAGAATTTATACCGAAATTTCGAGTTTGCGCTCAAATGTGGATTAGATCGGGTTTTAACCTTTCAGTAGTTATAATAGAATTACTGAAAGATTTTATATAGGGTTGTGCAATTTTATATAGGGTTGTGTATTTTTCAAATGAGGATCAAATACTTTATCGCTAAAGCTAATAAAATTGAAGTCTAAGGGTTGAAATTCAAATGCGTTAATGGTAAAATAAAATTCGTAAGATCATACTATTATTTTAAATATTATATCTCCATTACATTTTAAATTTGATAAAATAATTATAAAACTATACAACTAATTAAAAATCATAAATGTTATAACTAGTTATTACTGATTATATATTCTTATAAAAATAAAATTGCATAACTACATATAACTAATAAATGTTTCCATAAAAATCTCTTTTTCCTTTCACTTTCTACAAAAATAACTTCATCTGCTGAAAGTTCTATCGCACCAACAATTTATCTATTTTAAGTTCCAAGAGTCTGTTGAAGACCGCTGAAAAGTTCCATAGGAAAAAATAAATAATACAATCAACATGAATAACAGAGTTTCGAATATACTTGAAACAAAGAAGAGTCGTTTATAAAAGCGGTTTACACGAGTTCATATCAGTCGACATGAATGAATAAATAAAGAAAGAAACTTCCTGCAGCAAATGGACCATAAAACATGCACCGCGATCCAGATACTTGATGCATCGTACGGAATCGATCATTTACCATCCTCGAGACAGGTTAAACGCAAAACCATCTTTGCAATTATTTAGCCCGTCGTCGAGTGTACCGCAAAGTGGCTGAGAAATTGAAAAGGAGGCTGATGCATCGCTTTTCATAGTGTGCTCGTTGAAATTTATGACAGAGGTCACTTCCGCAGCGTCATGCGGTTCGATAGAAAATTCAAGGCAGCTTCGGTCGAGTCGTTAAACTTACATCGACGTCATGGCGAATTGTATAATCAAGGGAAGTGTAGCGATGTTGACCCAGGAGTTGGCGCGTGATGAGGTTGACGTGTTTAGAGGAACACGTATCGAAATCGTTGTATTACCTCTGAATTCCTGTATCTCCGAGTTTTCAAATTTTTGCGTTCTCATAGATTACCGTCCATAAGTATCCGGACACTTGGTTTCGCTACATAAAACATAGTTGAACTGCTATACAGAGAATGCATGGAGTGTTAGAATACGAGGATTTGGAATTTCAAAATTGGATTATTGTAGAATTTAGAAGTTTAGAAATTTAGGCACTTAGATATTTGCTGATGCAGAGATTTGGACATTTAGAGACTGGGAGATTGAGAGAGTTAGAGATCTAGAAATTTAGAAATTGAGAGATTGAAATGGAGAAATTTAGGAATTTAGGAACTTACCAGTTTGGCAGTTTAACTGTTTGGTAATTTAACATTATACCAATTTACCAATTTATAAATTTAAAAGCTTGGTCATTTAGAAGGTTGAAAATGTAAATAGTTGAAGATTTAGAAATGTAGGAATTCAGAAATTTAGCAGTATAGCAATTTAACTATTTAACAATTTAACAATTTAACAGGTTATAAATTTATTTAACTTGAAAATTTGTAACTTTCTCATAGCCCTATCTTCCATATTATACAACTATCAGATAAATACTTCCTAATATCATCAGACCTACGTTCTCACATTTTACGTCCAAACCTAAACTACATTCTAAACTACTATTAAAATCATTCTACTACAATTATTAAAAACTAATTAATTCACAATGTTTCGCAGCAATAAAATTGTACCTGAAAAATGTAGAACTACCATTTGTTACCATGATACAATAAATCCGTTTGATAAAAGGTAAAATAAAGCAGAAAAACTATCGGTTGAAAGATTTATACACATTCTTCTTTTTTGTACGTTTGTAGAGACACATTTTACAGTGGCAGTATAAAGTTACAAGTTATAGGTGTATACGTAGCAATTTGTTGCATAAATCCTGGACATAACTTATGGTATCATGGGCTCGATTTATTACGCTTTGTCCAGGAGATTGTATATCTCCAGAGTTACTGGAAATTCTGTCCGAGAAACGACATCGAAATCAGGATTAAGAGAACGAAGTCGATAGCGTAACTAGCATAGAAACACTCGACATTGCCGGAAACGGAAGACAGTCTTCCGGAATAGTGTTAAGTCTGTCGCTGTTATCGAATCGGTTGTCGATAGTATCCAATCGAATCGATTTTTGGACGGGTGATTCTTTATGATACTATAACCTATTTACTCATTTTAGAAATCAAGTTCTTATATTTTGTATTCGTAACTGACAGAGTAACTGACATTTTTATCAATTACACTACCGTTCATAAGTATCCGGACACTTGGTTTCGTTACATAAAACATAGTTGAACTTCGTACAAAAGGTATTTAGGGTTATCATATCATTTGTAATAATTATTATTATCTTTTTTGAGGTGTCATAACGTAATAGAATTAATTTTTAAGTACAAATTATACAATGAAAGTGTGAAAGTGAAATTCATGTCCAGAAGTACAAAGTCCAAATTTGTGAATCTAATGAAACGCTTTCGATTCTAAAAAAAATTTTAATTTCTACTGTGTTTCATTTCTATGGTGCAGAACGTATTTAAAGGGTTCATCGATATGTTTTGAGTGTTTATAAACTGTTGGTGGATGTATAGGTTCCCTCAATGGAGATAAGAATGGAAGTAACGCTACGCACTCGACAATTTCGGTTTAATTCGTCTGTAGCTTCTTTTCCATCGAGATATGAGTTCCAAACGAGAATTATCAATCGAAAAACGTTCCAGTATTCTGACCTTCGCAGAAAAAAAATCGATTTTAGTTACTGTTGCAGATACTTGAATAACTTTCATGCAACGCGAATGCATATTTCGCTTGTGTCCGGATACTTATGGACGGTAATGTATTTCTAAATTTTTATATCCTCCTGTCTCACAACTAGTAATTCGCGGAAATGGGTGGAGGACGTGATTTCGAACAAGATTTTCCTATGCAAAAATGGGGTGTGAAGCTTTGATTCTGAATTATTAATAACACTTTGAGTCGATCATGCGCCAACTCGTGGATTGACATCTGTACTTTGCAGAAAGTCTTACCGTTTGCGTCTTTGGCCTCGAGTCCTTCCGCCTCGACAACCACTACGTTTAGAATAACGATAGGAGGCTGAAAAGGGTGATTATTTTTTTATAAAATTGCTTAGAGTTTAGTTTGTGCAATCGGTGATAAGATGATTCATGAGTTTCGGAGGCAGGTATTAATCAAAAGTAAAAAATTCGTAAACACTAAGATATTTATCTAGCTTTCCTAAATTTTCAAACTTTAAAATTATTACATAAGTATTAACATCTATGACGATCAAAAATTTAAATATCTGAGTCTACAATGATCGGAAATATAAACATCTAAAATTTTGCTCAACATCACAAAATAACACAAAAATTGACCGCGTAAAGTTACTTTCCCCTGAATCATCACATGGATGCAATTCGTTAGTAATTCGAGTGAATATAACGAAGTTGCGCGGTTTCATTTAATTTATCCAGTTTAAATATAATAAAAGTTTGAATATAGTGTGAATTTCTGGATAACTTTATTTACGATATGGGAACCGATTTCAATTATCGAGAATGAAAGAGGAGCTTCGTGGATCGAATACGTCGAGGTTATTTAGCGAAGTTACTGGAAAGGGAAGAATAATTGTTCCATAGTGTCTAATTAATCTGCCTGAACGGCTTCATTTTCATCGGACTTCAATGTTTTGCTTCCGCTTCGTCGATCAAGAATGAAATCGCTTAGCCGCGGTTCAATCCTTGTTTGTCCAATAAAAGTAACGAAACTTTGTACAGCTGTCGTTTTCGCAACAATAGTGTTTTCATTTTCAATCGAGACAATACTTTATATAATAAGATCTTTAACAAAGGACTAATATTTCCGTGGTGAATCAGCAATCTTTATCTTCTACCTCCGTTGTACACATTTTCAAAGTTTCAGATTTCAGATGCTATTTTCTCACATTCTTCGTTATTTATGGATATTCTCAAACTACGAAATAATTTCTCTAGTATTGTTTAATAATGTAAAATTGACAAATGTATGATCGATATATTATCAGATTAATGACCTTGCATTGATTACTTGTAGATTTTGATTAATTCTTGGATGTAATGAATCACTGATATATTTAAGTTTATATACATTATTGTGGAAGCTGTAATTATTTATTAAGACATTTGAGTATGGAAGTGTTTCGTTTGCAAAATTTAAATATCTAATTTTAGTTGAGTCATTTTTATTTCCCTTTGCAGAAATGGGATTTGAAGCTTCGTTTTTGAATTATTAAGGAAAAACACGGACCCATCAGAGCGCGAGGATTACGCATGCGTAGACGCGAGAACGGCAGTTTCGGATAACGCGTAGTTATCCAACGCGTGGTAATGCAACGTGTGGTAATGCAACGCGTAGTAATCCAACGCGTACTAATATAGCGTGTGGATATCCAACGCGTAGTAATCTAGCGCTAAAAGATTTTATTGATAATAATGCATGAAATATTAAGCTTGCAATATTTCAATCAACGACACGATTATATCTGATTAAGCAATTAAATTGCAATCTAGCAATTAAAAATCGAACGTCCTCTTTACATATTTTAAAATTCAATTTTTGATTTCCGTGTTTAAAATTATTCCAATAAAAAATGGGATGATATCAATGATGCAAATTAACAGATTTAATTTCATGAATTTTACTGTTATCTTGAAATCAATTTTTATTTCATATTTTATCTTGAAAATAAATTTCATCTTAAAATTATTAAAGAAGCGATAATACAAAAAAGAACGAGTATCCTCAAGTAACAGATCAAAAGGATGAAATGAACCCTTTATCGAGAGCTTTAGAGGAGAATTATATAGAAAAGGAATGTAAGTACCTTCTCTTCCGATGCAATATTCAAATATCGTCGATGTTGATCCTGTGGGACTTCGAAAGCCTCTTGTGCATATCTGTAAAGATCCTCTTTATAGTGGGCGTATTGTCCTGTGCTGGCTCCCACCGTGTTGGCAATCGTGTAAAGGACTTCTATGTACAATTGCTCCAACTGAAACAATATGTTTAATCCTTTCACTCTTTTAGACACTTGTTACACAAAATTAATATACTTGAAATTATTGAAACAGCGTAACATGACATATTTTCTATTATTTTGTACAGTATTTCATTGTGGTACGCAAACACGTACATGCATTCACTGTATCTCACGAATGTTACATATACAATGTATGTAGAAATTTTATTATCTCGTATAAACTTGTACATAAGTGTTATATTAATTATTCATATGTGAGTTTTATTGTATTAAGTATTCATATGTGAGTTTTATTGTATTAAGTATACATATGTGAATTTTATTATATTAAGCATTCATATGAGAGTTTTATTGTATTAAGCATTCATATGTGAGTTTTATTGCATTAAGTATACATATGTGAATTTTATTATATTAAGTATTCATATGTGAGTTTTACTATATTAAGTATACATATGTGAGTTTTATTACATTAAGTAAATATATGCAAGTTTCATTATCCGCATATGTTTCATAATATTAGATGAATGTATGTATATGTTTGATCATGCAATGTTATACATATGAATACATATTTAACTTCATTAATAATTGTCAGCAGGAACTTCGGTACTGTTTCATCTATGATGAGTTTGCCATATGATTTATTTACTGGAGACATACTTTGTATATTCGTTTATGAGAGATATTATTATAGAGTTCACTGAAAATTTTTAGGAGAGGTTATTTAGATCATTATCAAGTTGAGGAGAGAAAGCGATATATCAAGTGACATTGATTCTAAAACGAATACTGAAATTAAAAAATTTGAAACTGTATAATATAAAATGCATTTTTTACCTTCCATGTTCCATTCTACCCGAACACGCCCATTCCTTATTTCTTATTTCCACGAACCCATCTCCGTAGTCAATTACTCAACGAAACTCTTAATTGAAGATATTTAAAATTCCCACCGTTCTCCACAACACCACAAAGTTCCTTCAAGAGGTATCAACACCTGTATTCACCTATTTACACCGAATGGGAAATATCAGTCCCTCGATTTAGCCCGATGCGTGGTTGTTCATTAATATCAACGTCAAACCGTTGGCTACAATAGAAACCCTTTGCTCGTACAATACCACATTTTGTCATCTATCATAACGCGTTCTGTATTCGTAGATTGCATGCAGAATGGTAGTTACATTTTCCTTGAAATATTATGCGTGCAGATCAATCGAAGTGATGGACAGCTGGTCTAATGATACTGCCAGTGCAGCGTTCATTTATCCCTGTGATATCAGCGATTCTCCGTTTCCTAATTACCGATGGAGAGGAACTTTCTATGCGAAATATTGCGAATTGAAATATCTGCAAGTTATACTGTAATGTTGATCGATACGTTCTTTGAAATTTTAGCTAGCTATCCGCTCTCGTTCTCTTCATTTGTGTTCTGTCGATATACGGAAATTAGATTGCGTACGCGCTGTATAATGCAGGATTATACGTTTTAGAAATAGATGATTAGATTCTGTTCCCCTATGACATCTTTTGTCCTTTTCTGATATTCTGTTTCATGTATATGTTTATTTTGAAAGTGACCTATGTCCATTTATCAGTTGTTTGTTGTTAACTGTACCACTTAATATATCTTGAATTAGAAATTATTGAACTTGAGGTTAAGTAAACTTTGAGGTTATAATTTCCACAGAAAGAATAACGTGTGACACGTGAAATATGTATCTAATTTCATGTTTTTTAAACGATGTAACAGGTCAGAAATAAAATATCAAGGTTTTAACATTCCTTGTCATATCTTGAATTATAAGAAATTATTAAATGAACTTGAGGTTAAGTAAAACTTGAGGTTATAATTTCCACAGAAAGAATAACGTGTGACACGTGAAATATGTATCTAATTTCATGTTTTTTAAACGATGTAACAGGTCAGAAATAAAATATCAAGGTTTTAACATTCCTTGTCATATCTTGAATTATAAGAAATTATTAAATGAACTTGAGGTTAAGTAAAACTTGAGGTTATAATTTCCACAGAAAGAATAACGTGTGACACGTGAAATATGTATCTAATTTCATGTTTTTTAAACGATGTAACAGGTCAGAAATAAAATATCAAGGTTTTAACATTCCTTGTCATATCTTGAATTATAAGAAATTATTAAATGAACTTGAGGTTAAGTAAAACTTGAGGTTATAATTTCCACAGAAAGAATAACGTGTGACACGTGAAATATGTATCTAATTTCATGTTTTTTAAACGATGTAACAGGTCAGAAATAAAATATCAAGGTTTTAACATTCCTTGTCATATCTTGAATTATAAGAAATTATTAAATGAACTTGAGGTTAAGTAAAACTTGAGGTTATAATTTCCACAGAAAGAATAACGTGTGACACGTGAAATATGTATCTAATTTCATGTTTTTTAAACGATGTAACAGGTCAGAAATAAAATATCAAGGTTTTAACATTCCTTGTCATATCTTGAATTATAAGAAATTATTAAATGAACTTGAGGTTAAGTAAAACTTGAGGTTATAATTTCCACAGAAAGAATAACGTGTGACACGTGAAATATGTATCTAATTTCATGTTTTTTAAACGATGTAACAGGTCAGAAATAAAATATCAAGGTTTTAACATTCCTTGTCATATCTTGAATTATAAGAAATTATTAAATGAACTTGAGGTTAAGTAAAACTTGAGGTTATAATTTCCACAGAAAGAATAACGTGTGACACGTGAAATATGTATCTAATTTCATGTTTTTTAAACGATGTAACAGGTCAGAAATAAAATATCAAGGTTTTAACATTCCTTGTCATATCTTGAATTATAAGAAATTATTAAATGAACTTGAGGTTAAGTAAACTTTGAGGTTATAATTTCCACAGAAAGAATAACGTGTGACACGTGAAATATGTATCTAATTTCATGTTTTTTAAACGATGTAACAGGTCAGAAATAAAATATCAAGGTTTTAACATTCCTTGTCATATCTTGAATTATAAGAAATTATTAAATGAACTTGAGGTTAAGTAAACTTTGAGGTTATAATTTCCACAGAAAGAATAACGTGTGACACGTGAAATATGTATCTAATTTCATGTTTTTTAAACGATGTAACAGGTCAGAAATAAAATATCAAGGTTTTAACATTCCTTGTCATATCTTGAATTATAAGAAATTATTAAATGAACTTGAGGTTAAGTAAACTTTGAGGTTATAATTTCCACAGAAAGAATAACGTGTAACACGAGAAATATGTATCTAATTTCATGTTTTTTAAACGATGTCTATCACAGAAAGTATAAAATATAATTGAACTATTTACGTTGATGGAATTCTTCGTTCCATCGTGTCCTCTTCAAGTAAATTCCCTTCGTTGTTCTGCTCGTTCGGAAAAGAAACGCGTAACACAGTTTGAGCGGAAATAATAACCGGAAAACGATCGCGTTTCCACCCCCTAATAAAGTGGAAAAAAGAGAAATCCCTCCCGAGTCCTTCGGGAAAAGGCTGATACGAACGTGGAGCGATTTTCTGGACGATTCGACGGGATTTCTCGGAGCCATTTGCCGAGACAGATACACCATTATTCTTTTCGTTCGATGCCGTGCGTTTTATTGTACGTCTTCGAATTCTTACAATATCTTCCTCTTCAAAATGGTTGTCCAGTCATTGTTTACGAGAACGATTCTTTGTTCTTTTGTAATATCTAACCATTATAAATATTGATCCTTGAATGTGTATTTTACAATTTTAAAAAGTGACTCATTCTTTCACTAGTAATATTAACAAGATATGAACTGTACATAAATATCTTTTGATTAAATGAATTTATTCAGAAGAACTGATATAATCTCGTAAATTTGCAATATGAAAAGAAATATAACAATATTGTAATCCTTTGTTGAATAACCGTTTACATTTTAAAAAATGTAAATTGGACCTGTTACTTATTATAATAAAATGTAAAATTGCATACATTTCTTGTGCATTTTTTAAGTTTCACAAGTAATGATAAAAAATAAATCATGTGTCAACGCATTTCTTTATGAACAATGAATACGAATATGAACAAATTTTATTTTGAAATAAAAATAAAATCTCGTTGCATGAATTTAAAAAAATGCGATCCCAATTGTCACAGATAACAGTGATAGAAAGTAAAGAATACACAAGCACATTTCGATTAACAACGTTTGTTAATGAGTAATGATATACTATTGCAAATTTAGAACATTTTAGAAAGGTACAGTATAAAATTATAATATAATAATTTTGTTAATTACAAATATTTGTTGTTCATAATCAAAATGTACGCTTTTAGCTATCTGACAGAACTAAAAATAAATTAACCAAAATATGAAACATTTCACATGAAAATTACTAACAGAAGTAAAATAAGTTATATAAATTAATTATATAGAATTATGTAAAATAATTTCATTAGAGTAATTATTAATTTGTAACTACATTATCAATTACTGATTCAATTTTACAGTGTAATTATTAATACTTCAGCTATGTAATAATTACCTAAATAGATTTATTATTTAAAATAAAATTAATCTTTGCCTTAAAGAAAGAATTGAAAGAACATTAGAATAATTGTTATAATCATTGTGAACGAATGAGAGATTAAACAGAAAATTCATTACATCTGAATAGTACTTGCGTATTTCCGAAAGAAAACAGTTATCCATTATGCTCCATGAAGTTGTATTTGCGTTTGAGCTTGACACAGAGAGTAATCCACAGTATGTCGACTTAGAATCCCATAATCTGTCTGCACACCGATGATGTCCCTTTCGTGAGAGGCGAAATCATTTCAAATAGAACGTGTGCAGAAAACAAATATCAAGTGAATCATACGCACACGTGTTCGATCAACATTCTATGCTATATTTGCATTGATTCTATCTTATGCTCACGATTTTATTGACAGAACAAATATTGTGCTTCTCTCCGATAATGTACCGTAATACGTATTTCATAACAAATATAATTTCTGAAATTCTGTGTGGCGAGGATTAATGAGATTTACGAATGAATGAGCAACAAGGAGTCGCATATTACGATATCATAATTTAACGTGTTGTGAAGTTTGAGCAAGATTTTGAGATATGTGAAGTTTGATAAGATTTAGGGATGCGGGAGTATGAATCGTGAAGACTAAGAACGGTGCTTTGCGATTGAATATTCTGTAACTTTGTAATTTGATGATTTTGTAGTCAGTGAGATGATTTGGTACTTTGGAAGCGAGGAAATTTTGAGATTTAGTAATTTAGGAAATTGGGAACTTGGGAACTTGGGAAATTGAGAATTTGGAAAATAACGAATTTGGGGAATTGGAGCAGTTGGGAAATTAGGAAATTGGGAAATTAGGATATTCGGAAATTAGGAAATTAAGAAATTAGGAAATTAAAAAATATTAGAAAATTAGGTAATTAAAAAATTGGGAAGTTGGGAAATTGGGAGTTTGGTAAATTGGTAAATTGGAAAATTGGAAAATGGAAAAATTGAAGAATTAGGAAATTAGGAAATTGAGAAATTGAGAAATTGGGAAATTGGAAATTAGGAATTTGAGAAGTTTGAAAATAATGAATTTGGGGAATTAACAAATAAGGAAATTTAGAACTTAGTAAATTTCGAAATTGGGGAATTAGAAAATTAGAAAATTGAGAATTAGGAAAATTTGGAAACTGGGAAATTAGGAAATTAGGAAATTGGGAAATTAAGAAATTGGGAAATTGAGAAATTAAGAAATTAGAAATTAGGAAATTAGGAAATTAGGAAATTAGGATATTAGAAAATTAGGTAATTAAAAAATTGGGAAGTTGGGAAATTGGGAGTTTGGTAAATTGGTAAATTGGAAAATTGGAAAATTGGAAAATGGGAAAATTGAAGAATTAGGAAATTAGGAAATTGAGAAATTGGGATATTGGAAATTAGGAATTTGAGAAGTTTGAAAATAAGGAATTTGGGGAATTAACAAATTAGGAAATTTAGAACTTAGTAAATTTCGAAATTGGGGAATTAGAAAATTAGAAAATTGAGAAGTAGGAAAATTTGGAAACTGGGAAATTAGGAAATTGGGAAATTAAGAAATTGGGAAATTGGGAAATTGGGAAATTGGAGAATTGGGGAATTGATAAATTGAGGAATTGGGGAATTGGGGAATTGGGAATTTAGAAAATTAGGCGATTTAGAAATCAGAAATTAGGAAATTAGAAACTGCGACATTGAAGAAATTTCGAATGTTAGAAAGTTTGGAAATTGGAAAATTGGGAAAGCAGAAGATTTGTAAATGTTGAAATGAAGAAGTGAAGAAGTTAAAAATTAAAAAATTTAACGATTTGCAATCTTAAGCTTTCGAAAAATAACGAAGAGAAAGATCCGAAAATGTCAGAATTCCACAAGAAATCTAGAAAACGTAAAAATTTTGCTTCTCTAAAATATTTTAATTCAAATATACAAAAGCGTTTCTAATTTGGAAGAAATTTGTCACCACAGCATTATTTCTACAAATTTTACAAAATGTAAATGTAAAACCTTTATAAAAGCTATTTGCAGTAGACCGTGTCATTCATATTCAGACAAAATGTCGACACTTCCATACAAGTGTTCTTGCATTCACGTGTCTATATTTTTGCGCATTTACCACACTTGAACCGGCATTAATTCCGTCTGTATCAGTTAACCTTTTTCGTTTTGTTACCTTCTTCTCGCCAGTTTTATCCGCAAGCGTATTTATCTGATGACCGTCGAAAAAGTCAGAGCAAAGAAGCGTTCGTAAAAACAAACAGGCATTCGTTTGGCCAGCAATTTGCGTATGCGAAAAAGACTGTAGGATTCAGTGGCGCGTTTCCAATTAGCGTAAATTGAGAACCAACGGTAGAGAAGTTTTTCGCTAAAATGCTGTCTCGTAAGCTCTTGCTTTGTTATTTGTATTTGACGTGTACGAATGTTTGTGTTATACAGATTAAAATGTATGCGGCGATTGTAAACCCATGTCTTTAAAAGCCACTGATTAAATCGTATCAAGGCGAAGTCATTTAATTATATTTGTTCAATTTATCCGTTTAACTGAATTGATTATATAAGATTTTCATGTTTGACAAAGGTTGAGAGGTATAAAAGTGGAAAAAATATTTATAATGCTAATATTGAAATTAGGGTAAATATTTATGAGTATATTTCATATTCATGTGAGTTAATTGCAAACGTATGTTCATGCAATATAGTATAACATATGTTATAATAATCAAACATATGTATACATATATGTGAACATATGTTTATACATGTTTATTTAATATGTGTATATGTACGCATATAATTATGAAATATTGTGTAACAGAACATATGCATATGTATTATGTAATATTGCTTGATACAACATATGCATATGTGCACCATAACAAATCATGTAGATATGTTTATATTACATGATGAAATGTATGCACATATTTATGAATAATAGTATTATAGAACATATCCATATGTATATGTAATATTGCTTGATACAACATATGCACATATGCATCATAACAAATCATGTACATATGTTTATATCATATGATCAAATTTCTGCATATTATATATGAATAACTCTATTATAGAACATATAAATATGTCTATGTAATATGGAATGATACAACGTATACACATATGCACCACAATGTACATATGTACATATGTTTATTGAATTTCAATTCATACACGTGAACCATGTGCATATGTTTATTGAATACGACCAAATGTATGCATTTGTTTACGTAACATTATACAATGAATCATATGAATCATACAATTCATGCATATATGTATATGTGTGTACTTTTATTGAAAGAAACTGTTTATCAAAGGCGTTTTACAATGTTTGTTTCCACCGTAATTGTATAGTCGCCTCGAAAACATGAAAATGGCAATGTTTAAAGTGTAGTCACGATTAAACTGAACGCGGAACTACTTCTATTACGTCGACTGAAAGTAGTTAACAACTCTATCTCGCGTTAAGCGATAGTGGATGGTTGCCAAGCTTTTGCATTTACTCGCACGAGCATACAAACACTAAAAACTGGAAGCATGTACTCGGTCCGTTTCGTGTATAACGAACTTTCAGAGTTATTAGAACGTAAATATAACGTACTGGCTCTAGAAATTACTCTTTCTTTCATGTTCTTATTTCGGGTTTAATCCTCTCGATCTTCGGAAAATGTTGCGAAAGTATAGGTTAGTTGTGGAAGTATTGATTGATACGTTAATAATTTTACTCACTTTCACGCGAGAAGCATAACTCATCTTAAGAACTTGAAGTAGATAAGTAATTTATGTTAGTAACTCAAGAAGGTAACAATTTTGTACTTAATTTTGTTAGAGTTTACAGATATTTTCCTTTTGGTTTATTATCTTTTATAAAAAAATGGAAGAATAGTTTAGATAACTTCCAACAGTCTCGAAGGTGTGGATTTTGAAAAATATTTCATTAACCAGTTAAATGTGGCGATCTTTTTGCAAAGCACGCACCAGTGTGTGTCGCGATAATCAAGCGATGACGAGTTAGCTTTCAAGAACAGTTTGAAATTAGTATTATTAACCCCTTGTCATACTTTGGTGAGTCTCACTCGTGACGTACTCACGGTTCAAATATAATAAATTTTACTCAAACTAATACTCTTCAACTCAAAATTTAAGTTCAACTATAATTTGCATTATCAAGGATCGCTGAATATAAAATGCTCATAACTTTTTCATTTTCTTTCTTTCTTTTAATATTATAACTATGAATAGTTAGTTTTTACTGACGCACCTGACAAATAAATTGCATATCAAGGGTTTAATACTGAACCTACCGGCATATGTGTACTCAATTTGAAATTAAAAAATCAAGTTAAAAATTAACTAAACAAACGACGAAACATAAATTCGCACAGACATTTATTCTTTATCTTGACGAAAATCAATGCTGATTCTGAGGAATGTACTTTAACCAGTTAACTGTGGCGATCTTTTTGCAAAGCGCGCACCAGTGTGTGTCGCGATAATCAAGCGATGACGAGTTAGCTCTCAAGAATTCATGAATCCATCTCAAATCATTTACACTTTTTATTTGTTTATTTCATTTCGTGCTGACCTCTAAACATTTTAAACATATTACAATTTACGAATATAATTTAGTTTTCGCCAAAATTACAATTTAAATATCAAATTGTAACAAAATTTTACGCATGACGGATATAGTCGTCATGACACAAAATTCTGCCACATCTTTATGACGGATATAGTTGTCAAACACACTTAACTGGTTAAATGTTCAAACATCAAAAATTCAGTCCTTTCTACGATAAAGACAATATAATCGATGGAACAATGTAACTTCTATTAAATAATTTTCCTTTTGTTTAAGAGTAATTAATAATTAAAAATAACTTCCCCTCGACATTTTCAATGGCGCCTTCACAATGTCAATACTTAAAGGAGAACATTTCCTTCGAGCAATAATATTAAACACATAAATTTAATACAGAATTATAATCGCTATGAATATATTAGAAATGTTTGAGAGACAATTATCCTCTTTTCTAAAAATAATTAATAATTATAATTTAAATGTTGCCTTTGCATAAGCAATTCTTAAAGCGATATTTAAATACTTAAATATGTCATTTAATTTGAGATATATTTTTTGCTAATTTGAGATATGAGATATATTTCTACGTTATACTGGTTTATAAAATTGACACTTTTCTAGTGTTATGTACTAATAATTTGTTTAATATATCACCTTAATATTAGCTTGAAGTTATGCCATTAATTTAACTAACATTTATTAACAATATTTGAATCGTAAGGAATATCCTCACCTCTTTTTTGCCGAAACGATAGGGTTGCGAAGACGACAAACTGCTGTCTCTGGACGGGGGTGGTGGTTCTTTCGCCCTGGCCTCCACCTCTTGTAAAACTACGAGCCTTCGATTTTCCTGCTTCCAGGATAATGCGGTGAAACTTTCGAAGAAGGAACCGTCTGTCTCTTGAACCCTGGAAGATGATCAATCACGTTTTATTCCCGTCACTTGTTGCTCGTTCGTTTCTGTGTATTGCGCCGCGCATAGAGCTCTTCATTCACTATAGTAAAACGTTTTCAACACTTTATCATACAAGTGTTTTCACTGACGCAAATATTTTGTGCTTTTTAGTACTAAGGATTGTGCAAATATTTTGTGTTCTTTAAGTTTTTTTAGTATAAAGGATTGCTGTAGTCAGACTATTCATTCAGTATACTTTAACGTGGACGATGTTTAACAGTGAATCAAAACCTTAACTTTTTAGGTTATTTTATGAAGTATTATAAACGCACAGAGGATTGTTTCTATTTATAGCAAAAGTTGTAAAGTTCACGTTATAATTCATGTTATAATGTCTATCTTATCCGTAGTATATTTTATAATATTTTATGTTTTTTACTAGTAAAGATTGCGATATCCACAATTCTTCGAGCTACAAATATTATTTTTCTTTAATTTCTTGTTTAATATTATTTATTCCAACCCCCTATTATTTTTAAATTTCCTTACTTTCCTATTATTTATTAACCTTTTTAGTTTATTTTCAACCCTATATTCATTTTCCTAATTTATTTTCTATCCATTACTTGCTAATTTTCTTCATTCATTTTCCTAATTTATTTTCTATCCATTACTTGCTAATTTCCTTTATTTATTACCTACCCTGTATTTATTCAATTTCCTTATTTATTCTCCACCCACTATTTATAAATTCCTTAATTTGTCGTACCTCGAATTTATTTATTTCCAATGAATTAGTTATTAATTTTCTTAATTTATTTTCTGTCCTGCATTTATTCATTTTCCTCCCTCTTCTACCTACAATTTATTAATTTTGTCTAATTTATCTTCAACGTGGTATTTATTCATTTTTCTCATTTATTTCCAATGAAATAGTTATTCATTCTTTCAACTCATTTTCTACTGTATACATTTTGCTCATTAATTTTCCACCTACAATTTATTAATTATCCCTAATGTTTTTCTTCTACGCTGCATTTATTAATTGTTTTCATTTATTTCCAATGCATTAGTTATCATTTTTTAAACTCATTTTCTACCGTATATTATACATTCTGCTCATTAATTTTGCACCTATTCTTTATTCATTTTCTTAATACATTTTCTACCGTATATTATACATTCTGCTCATTAATTTTGCTCCTATTCTTTATTCATTTCCTTAATTGATTTTCCATCCTGTATTTACCAAGTTTGCTCACTCAACCCATTACTTAATTTTCTTAATTCATTTTCCACTCCTAACTCATTCATTTTCCTCACTTATTACCCACCCTTCACCCTAATTTCCTTTCTACCTTTAACATATTTATTTTCCACCCTTTACTCATCTTCAACGTGTTTTCAATTAAAAAGTAAATATCGAAGCTGCATTTAAAAGTTCAAACACTCCCAGAGGAAAAAAATTTAATTTCCAGCATACACCGAGCAAACAGTGTGTACAGAAAAATACAGTAACGTTATCAATGGTTATCACAAAATTGAAAAATTACGTGTGAGGTGAAGTGGGGTAAGTTCGTAAACGGGGCAAGTGCGTGTACAGGCTATTTTTATTACAATATGAGCGAAATTTCTTCATTTAGTATGTTTGTTTCCTTGTTTTGTTTCACTATATCCCCTTTTATATTTCAGCTAAGAGTACTTGTTTGCAGTATAGAGTACTTGCATAATGCTGTAAAAAGCATTTTATAGCAGATTTCTTAATAATTCTGCTCTTGCCCCATTGCACATGAAATAAAGTTTCAAAGTATTTAACTTCAAGTTACGCTCTTAGCCCATTTTCGGGGAAAGTGCAGAGTAGTTGACATTTTAAACAATTTCCTATCAAAATCAAAATGTACAAGGAAAATTAAGGT